TCGGGTAGAAGTAGAAGAATATTAAGATAAATATCAACTTTTTTATCTGATGTTAATGAACGCATAGAAAAACAATCAAGTAATAGATCTTGTAATGGATATGTTATTAATGGATATGTAAGACGACGGAGAAATTCTTTAAATAATGAACATACATCAAATACTGTATTCGATGGTGATAAACTAGGTGTTAATGGACCATCTTCAATTCGAGCCTATAATTTGAAACATAAAAAAGAAAAACAAAAACAATTTTTGTCTAAAATTAATTCAATAAAATTTCATCGGATTTACCATAAGTTCTTTAACACGTTGAGATCCACCGGATTTTCGAAAAAGACCTTCATGTTTTATTGAACGACGTATACAATCGAAACACCAACGTAAAAATATCGGTACTGTTAAATCAATATTATCTACTTTTAATGATATTGTATCCATTTGATGAAGTGGTACATTAAATACACGTGAACCATGTTGATGTTGCTGTTGTTGTTGTTTAGAATTATTTGTTATATGAGGTGATGGTTGATTAATTATAATATTACGATATTTATTTGTATCAATGCGTAAACCAGCATTGTTTAAATCATTGGCAATAAATTCACGAACACTTCCTTTTTCTTCAAGTGCAATAAAATTCCGCATGATTTAATTTTGTTTAGTTCTAATAATGAAAATTTCAGAGAAAATGCTTAGAACAGATGGATAGAACGTTCTAACATTTCTAAAATAACATAGAAAAGAATAATTTTTATTCAGTAAAACATATAGATTAGTTATTGAAAGAACGAAATTTGGACAAGAAACGAACGAACATAATAACATACGAGACAGAGAATTCGACATATCCAATACGAATACCGGGCGAAACGAACATATGAACCAATTATCTGTTGAAATACGATCAATACTGACATCTATTGAGAAAATCATCTTTTTATGTTAATGTTCTCTTTCGGAGGGGAAACTTAGCATACTGAGAAGGCAAATACCTACTTTTTGGAGCAAAGATACATAACACTTGACATAATAACCACAAAATTTTATAGATACATCATCCCAACGCTAAAGAAAGAGAGGGAGAGCATTGTCATCAGTACCCATTTTGAATCAGCAATGTGTTGTAAGTGCAGTGTTATTCAAATACGCACACAGTCACTAGACAATTGTTATAGATGCAAAACTGATAAATAAAGAGAAATAAATCTTATTTGTAATGAATATAAGTATTAACAAGATAAAATCTTTGAGTGATTTAGAAAACAATATCGAATTAGTTTTTATTCAATGCTAAAAGTTTTCTTCAATATCTTATTTTTTTTTTTTATCTTTGATTACATTTAAGAAAATTTCCATCCATTGGTTGTAACCACACTATAATTCTAATTCAATACTATCAGATATAAAGAATTTATTGATTTGGATAAAATAGTTGTTAGCACAATCTTTGTGGTAATCTAGTTGCTGTTGTTGATCAGAGGATAGATTTTTTTGTTCTATCTGTTTTAAGATACATTTTTTCATTGTGGAGAAATATATAGTAAATTCTTGATAGATGATGATAACGAAACGTTATTGATAGGCGCTGAAAGAACGTCTGTTACGACCCGTGACATTTCTACAGTTATTTTTGTCACGTCTGTAATATGTCGTTACAAAGATATATGTCATGAGCCATTTTCAGTATATCTGTTGGTTCTGTCTGTTATGATCTATATGAGACAAATTTCTATCCTATATACTTCAATATTTCTTTAACATCATATTTTACAAAAGTAACGAATATCATATCTAGTTTTTCTCTACATTCAGTTAATTTACTTTTTTATCAAAGAATTGAACGCAAGAACTATGCTATAACTTTTGCTCATATATATGTTTCACTCTGTTCTGAATGCTATTTCGATCGGAAACAGCAAACTTGATTTTAGTTTGCTTGAAAGCATTTCTAACGTAAAGAATACTACATAGTGTTTTATTAAAGCCCATAAAAAGTTTTTAGCTTGACTAAACTATTGAATTTTTTCTAAAGGCTTTATACTTCCGAAAAACTCGTATTTTAATTTGAAGAAGAAACTATGTTCAAAACTTCTGACTTGTTTTTAATGAAAGCTACTCTAGCTAAATTCTCTATGTGGACAAAGTTTCAAGTTAAAATTTGAAAATATGAGTTTTTCGAAAATCTAGGAATTTTCTAGAAAAACAAATCGATAGTTTAGTTAACCTAGTTTTTATTAGAGCACTAGAAGAGTTTCTCGTGTAAGCTGTAGCATTTAGGAAAAACAACAAAACCTAAGGCAGAATTTCTAAGCATATAGTCGAAAAGAGCATAAAATGCTCGTTCTATTTCATGGAAAATACTCTCTAGGACGTCAAAATTCAACAAATATTCTTCGACTACTCATGAAATCAAAAATTACCTTCTTTTCTTGTTCAATCACAAGTATTTTTACTATAGTTAAAAAGAAACAAATTTATTTTGTATAATATCATATCCTTGTACATATATATCGCAATAGAAATATTCAATCAGAAATTTTCTACAAAATATTTTACTTGATTTTGAATAAAGTAATGATTGTTATGATTATCATCGTCTTATAATCTTATCTCAAAGTATTATTCAAGCATTTTGTTCTTTTATTAATTATCGATTAAGAAGGTTTTCTTTTTTTTACGTAATAAGTTCCGATTAGAAGATGAGCATTGTAATCTTAATGATTGTAGCATCTCAATCATCATCAGCAGTATTATAATAGAGTATTGATCATACGACATCCTATACACAAGCTAGAAAAACAGTTTTATTTTGTCTTGTAACATATGTGTTGGACAGCAATAGCTGCAAATAATATCAGGAAAGGACAAAAAGAAAAATAGATTCTATGCATATACACTATATTTTACTGATGTTTTTGTCGCTCTTGATTCGTTAATTCTCGTCATACAGTCTTACTGAAAAACAATCGTGATAATCTACCGAAGCGCAAGCTTTATAATTAATGTGTACAAAAACATACGCATAGACACGATGATTTTAGCATATTAGTTCGACAGAACGATACAGAAAGATCTTCTTCCTTTTTGGAAATATATGAGAAAAAGAAAAGGAAGAACAAGAAGAAGAAAAACCTAATAGGAAATATACATCTAAACGACACGTAAACATACGAAGAAAGAAGGAAAAAAAAAGGAGTTGTTGTCTAATAGAAAATCGAATATTATTTCTAAGCTAAACAAACATAAGACTATCAATGGATTATACTTTATTTCCTACAGTACCTGTACTTTTGGAACGATCAAGTTTAGATCAAAGTTGGGGTTTTCGTCTTCAAGGTGGAATAGATTATAGATTACCACTATCAATAAAAAAAGTTTGTAGATTATTTTCTTACAAAAACAAATATCTATTTTCTAATTATTTCTTACATATAGGTAATAGCTAATTCACCATCACATAATAAACTTCATCCAGGTGATGGTATTGCTTCTATTGAAGGACAAGATGCAACTACAATGAAACATGAAGATGCTGAAAATTTAATTCGTAATTCATTACGATTACAACTTATTCTTCGACGGTATGTTTAATACATATAAACATTTAACAAGTTTAGTTATATTTAAGATTTGATTAGTAATAAAAAAAAAATAGTTAATATATTAAATCGTAATATATAAATAAAAAATTATTCAACTTGATTTCAAAATTTAATACGATGTAATTGTTATGCCGTGGTAGAAGTAAAATTATAACTCGAGATTTAATAGAAAATTGAAATATCATTTAAGAACAGAATTTGTAACTTTTTTTTTTTAACTACTATCAAAAATTTCTTTATTTGAATGTATATAGACATAAATATTTGATTCACTTGGAAATATACTTTATAAAAACTTCAAATTTATAATATTAGTCTTCAAAAATATTTTCTATTTTTTTGAAAAAAACAAAACTAACTATTTACAAATTAATTCTTAATTATCATTTGTTTAGAGGTCAATTTACTCCAATTCGACCATCAAGACCACCGATTAAATTTGGTCCTGGTCCACAAGCACATGTTAATTCAGCATTATATAATACAACAACACCAAATAATTATCGTCGTTTTTAAACGAGTGTATCTTTCTTTCTTTTTCTTTTTCTTATATTAGTGAATACCAAAAAAAAAGAAAAAAGAAAACTAATTCATATACAATCCTCTTTCTCTCTCTCAAGTTTATTTTTTTTCCTGTTGATGAAATGAAAAAAAACCAAAAAAAAAAAAGAAAACACGAGTAGAGAAACCAAACGAAAGAACATTTGTGTTATCTCACGGGATCAGCAAGTTCTCTCTTTTGGGTTTAATCAATGAAAAAGAAAAGAAAAAAAAAAACATGACACACACACTCAAGCAAAAAACTTATACAATCTGTCACAAGAAAAAAAAAAGAAAACAATAAACGAAGAAAAAAAAAGAAAGTAAAGTAAAGTAAATCATATATGAACATACGTATTCACGCATGTAATTTTTATAATATATATATATATATGTATGTAGAAGAAAGAACGGAAAAACAAAGAAGATATGAGTAGCATTACACATACACAAACGATCGACTGTCAACACAACAATAAATTGTTTTTCATATGTATCCAACAAATCAAATGTTTTTTTTTGCTAAGTATATGGACATGAATTTTTTGAGTTTGTATGTATATATATATATATATATTAATATCTCTTATGGGAATAATAATTCATTGTTAAGTGTTTTTTTTTTCTTTGTCTTTTTTTTTTTTGCAAAATAAAATGGCACTCTTTCTCTCTTTGAATTTTCTCACTCGAAAACAAAATGACCTTAATCCAATATATGTACGAACAAAACAAACATACACACACACACACAAAAAAAACAATAATATCTATACATATGACAAGAAGAAAAAGAAGAAGAAGAAATGACGAGCGAGATTACAAGAGAAAAGAGGGGAAGTAAATACTGAATGATTATCAGTTCATAAATGAAAAATCAACATCAGTATGACGATGAAATGATAATGTTTGATTGAGTGCTTGACACTAAAAAAAAAGAAACCCACAAAAATTAATAATTGTATATTTTTGTTTTTAAATTTCTTACTTCTCGACGTTTACGATCTTCTTCACGTCGTTTTTCAATCTCACGTTTTTGTCGTTGTTCATCATCAATATGCATTTCTTGTTGGGTATTTAATGATGTTGAATTTTGAAGCATAGATGGAGGTGATGGAGATGCATCAGATAATGTTGCTGTTGGAGTTTGTTTTGTTGAATTACGAAATGTTGTGTCATGAATATGATTACCATTTGTTTCTCTGTAAAGAATAATTTAAATTAAATATATATATATATTTGATTTTGATCTCTGGTAACCGAATTTTTTTAGTTGATTAGGAAATGTACGTCTAATTATGAAAATTACCATGGATCTACAAAGATCTTTCTTGATATGAATAAAGCTATGAATTTTGCAAAAAAAACTAAACGAGAGTGATTTTATGAACTTGTCTAAAATACGACAGTTTAGGAAAATCTGTAGCAATTATCTTGAAGAGATATTTGAATGTTTAATTTTGTATCGTATAGAGAATGTTTATTGAAACATTTCATTGAAAGTTAACTATGACAAATATCACTAGTTACAAGTGAAATTGTGTGACAACTTGTGAGTTGAGACCTTAATGTACAATCACTGAGACTCATTAGAAGATTGTGTTTAAGATTCGCTTGTCAAAAGATAACGAAATTCTCAAAATTAAGCCTTAGGAACACAAGCTAATACTTTTTTTTTCCTCTTTGATTTAATACTTTTGTCTATTATCAATTATTAATAATTTGAAAATAGATTTTAATTAAATATATTTGTTCTATCTTAATATGTGTTTGTCAACTTACTTTCGAGATAATAAACGTGCTTGTTTCGCTTCATCCTCACGTTTTTTCGCTTCTTGTTCTTTGTACAATTTTTCCTGAATAGAAAATAAAGAATATTTTCATTGAATAATTAATATATTCATTTGTTTACTTGTTCAGCTTTAAGTTTAGCTTGTTTTTGATATTGCATAAAACGATCTTGTGCTACTTTATCATCAGGTTTGACTGTTGATGATGATGATGTTGTACTAACAGCTTTTGCAGCTATTGATAAAAGATTATCTTTTCTTAAGGAACTAGTATTAGTTAATCTTGAGAGATTTGAATCCTTAAAAACAAAAAGGTCTTTTATTTAAAAAAAAACACCAAATCAATAAAATTCTATTTTTACTCGTTTCAATGATTCATCATCACCAGATTGTTTTGTGGCTGGAGAAGTTCTTGGTACTGATTCATTTGATAGATCATCATCATTTCCACCCAAATGAAAATTTGCACGTCGTTCAGTTGAATCATTCACTAAAATAAAAATATATTTATAAAAAAAAAAAAAACGAAAAATCCTACAATAAAATTTACCGGTATTGCTACTATCAACTACAGTTCTACCTATATCATCTTTAATATAAAGAAATAAAAAAAAAACCATTACGATTAAATATTCATTACTTTTAAATTTATATTCACCTTTTCTCTTTGTGAGATTATCAATATTGGTATCAATATTTGTAGTTGTCTATTAAAAGAAAAAAATCAAAATAATTAAAAATTCTTTAATTCATATAAGACAAAGTCTCATATCTAGTCAATAGCAATCATTATCTACATGTTCTCATGTTTGTCGAATTACAATAATTCATAGGAAATTATTAACATCACGACAGTAGTCCTACAATTGACTAATTACTTTCAACATGAGATTATATACATCATGTCGACTGTAATAAGTTACGAATACCTTGACAAGAGTTTTGATTCTTAGTTTATTATTGCCGACATATTGCATTTTTGAGGGTATTTTTTTTTCTCTTTATTACAATACTGTAGTACTCGTCAGAAAAACTAATTTTCGAATTGTGATTCGATACTGTGTATAGAAATATGATTTTCAGATCAAAGTATCAATTCACTTGATCTGTTCTTATCCAAAAATATCTTAAAAAATGTAATATGTTGACAGCAATAAGCTATGAATTGAAACTCTTTTCAGAATATTCATAATCTACTAGTGTCTACATAATGCATCTAGTCTCAACTGAAAAGCAAATAATCAGTTAAGGAACATTCCTTTCATATATTTTATGCAGTATAGTAGCTAATGAAATGACAGCTAGAGCGACGTTGAAAGCGGTATATTGGTTTTCTGTCTTTTTTGGAATGCAGACGAAAAGACAAAGGAAGACACATTTGTCCACACTCGCAAAAAGAAGGTCAACCGGTATACCACCGATTCCAACTATGACCTTGAGTCTGAAGAACTCTTGTGGTATTCCTGTCAGATTTTGTGGTTATTGTAGCACATAGCATATGAAATAGTTGTTTTTCTTTCTAATATTTTAAATCGTCTTTCCGAACGAGAAAATCTGATAAAACAAAGCGATTTTCTCATCAGAGATAGTAAACTCTAACTTTTTTTTTTTTCTTCAATATTAATCAAATTCTTTCAATTAGCAATAATATTTACATTAAAAAAAAAAGAAAAAGAAAAACAAAGATCAATTAAAATCTTTGTAAATGAATCAAATCCAATATCAATTTTATCTACTGACCTGATCTTTCGTTCTTGTTGATACAGCAGCACCATTAGCAGCTGATTTGATATCGTCGGTGCCTAAATAAATCATCCTTAGTTTATAACATATCAACTACTGCTGTTGACTATTATATATTTTTTGCTGACCGTATCGACAGATCCTTTTGAATTTAGTGAAACGCAAGCCGTTATTATAATAAAATATGTTTTTTTTTCAATCATTTTTATTCCTTTTGTTCGACTGAATTTTTGGGTTATTTTTTTTTTGTTTTCGAGATAGATATAGAAAGAAACGAGCCACAAATATACGCGCGGTGTATACAGTTTTGTTTTAGCTCTAATGTACGACACGTAAAAAAAAAATGAGAGAGAAAGAAAGAAAACAACGAAACAAACTAATAGTAATACACAATACTGATTCGCATGAGTTCGGATCCGAATTATAATAATTTGTCGAATATCGACAGTTACGAATTCGTGTTTTTTTTTTGTTTGTTTTTATATACGGAAAAGGGATAATATATACATGTATGTAATCTCAATGAAAACATTGAGATAGAAGAAAAGAAATATGCCACTGTATATATATATACATATATATGTATATAGAAACAAAGAAAGAAAAAAACAAAACAAAAAGAGAGATTATTGTACAAGAAAAACACATAAACATATGTAGAAGAAAAAAACAAAAACAAAAACAAAATTCATCATTCTTATTGTAATTATTTTCGTATAGAGAGAGAGAGAGGAAGACGAAAGAGAAATAGTTGCTTGTGTTCAAAAAAAAACAAAACAAACAAACAGAAAGGAAATTTTTTTGTTTTTTAATTTAATAAACCGAACTTTTTTGGTTATTGGGGGGGGGGGGGGGCAGGAGCAATTATTTTTAATTAAATAAGCGCAATTATATAGAAACATTAAGCGAAAAAAAAAAGAAAAAGAGGTAGAATAAAAACAAAATGGTTTTTTTTTGTTTTGTTTTACTTTCATTTCTCAACAAGGATCTGTCGAACAGCAGCAGACTATTTCTCTTTTCATTTCTCGTCTCTCTTATGAGATTGGACAAAAACAAAAACATATGAAAAACAAAATTTAAAGAGACATAATGAATAAAAAGAGAGAGAGAGATAGAAGGAAAAAAAAAGGAAATTTTTCTATTTATATATGCAGATCATCTAACCTGACTCGGAGTCAGAGTCGTCTCCATTGCGTGATGAATCAGAATCGGTTTCTGATTGTGAACTTTCACTTAAACGTTTTGATGATATTGGTGCAGCTGCAGATGATAATGGATGATTTGAAGGAGCATTTATAAGACCAGTTGTAGCACCGATTGAATTAAAATTTGACGAATCTAAAAACCAAAAAAAAAAATAAAGCATATTTGATAAAAATAAATAAATAAATTTTTTCTATGTCGATTACAAACCTCGTTTTGTTAATGAACTACCAGATGTTTGTTTAGTTTTAGTACCTAGTTGTGTTTGTACTTTTTCGAGTCGTTTTTGTATTTCTTCTTTTTTCTGTGCATTTTGAGCTTTGACAAGACTACGTTTTTCAGCATTAGCTAAAAATAAAAGATACAAATTAAGTTTGAAATAAATTTTAAAAATTAAAATTGAGTTTAATATATAATGTTAAGATAAATTTTATTGTGAACTTTTTAATTATTAAAAAAATGAAAGTATGATATGGACCAAAGCGATAAAGTCTAGCTGAAGCCGAGTGTTAAAGTTGATTAAGAGAATTCATTCGACTGATACTCTCCGTTTGCGTTCGTAGTGTAAATAAAAATTACGAAAGAGTTCGTGCCATAAGAGACCTTTCTTATCGAGTTCTATTCTTCTTGAGACATCATATGACTAAAAATGAGGCTATTTTTGAGGAAAGTTTCAGCTAATATCATGAACTCTTTGAGAATTGTTATCTACACTATGAGCTCAAACGAAGATTAACAGTCAGATAAGTTCCCTTGTAAGTGACTATCTTGTTTGGCACATATCTAATAGAGAGTGGCGGACCCAGGAGGTGGCTAGGGGTCTCAGCCCCTCTCCCCAGGAAAATTTTTGAAGCATGTATTTTGTTCGCCAAAGGGGGCTGAGCCCCTCCCCCCCTCAGCTCAAAATCCTGGCTCCGCCACTACTAATAGATAGTATTTGCAAACCTAGGTACTACTAGCAATGAGATGACCTTGAACAAGTCGCTAGCAACTGTTTGTCTCGAATCATTCATCTAATAGCAAGCAAATTAAGTCGTGACATACACCTGCTCTTGTGGTTAGTTAATGTATATGTAGAGCACAAGAACGCTGCATGAGGTCGACCTTCTCTATTAAGTGTAGAGAAGATATGCGGTTAATGAATCTATCGCTAGACAACACGCTATACCACAAGATAGCGGTATTCTTCTTCATAAGGCTTATGTTTATGCAAAATTAAGCTCCTACAAAGAAAATTTGATCTGTTACCTAACTAGGTAGAGCTTTCGTAGTATAGTGATCTTATAAAAAATAAAGTGGAAAGTTCTTTTAGTGCTTTCGAACATTCTCTGACGCAATATTAACTCTTAATTTATTGCTTGCGGTCGTAATAATTTTTCACAGCGAACATGCAATTGTGATTTTATTCAATCGAAGAAATCTATACATGCGTTAAAAAAAGTAATCATACATCTCAAATATATTCTATAAATAAGATATTGTCTTTGTTAATTTCTATTATATATAACTACGAGAGGGCAGATAAAGAAATCTAGAACTTCATTCACCTGCTGATGCTGCCGTTTTTGAAGTTGTTTTTTCTAATAATACGAAAATAAGAAGAGAAAAATAATATTAATAATAAAAAAAATTTTCTTTCTTTTTTTTTGTTTTTTTGTAAATTTATTTACCAGATGTATTAGGTTGTTTACGTGGTTTTCGTTTAATAACTTGATTAACATAAGCTTCTAATTCACGTAAAGTTGATGGTTTGAGCATTTCAAAATCAATTTCCATCTCATCGGGACTTGAATCACGTAAAGATGGTTCTCGACGATGTATAATCTTAAATGAACAAAAAGAAAATTTCATAAAACAAAAAATCGTTTTGCTTTTCTGTTTTTTTTTTGTTTATTATAACAAACCTCAACAACAGGACCAAGTTTTTCACTTGGTAAATTATTAATATCAAGACTTAATTGACGTTTTTCTTCATAAGTCATCGGTTTAGGATTTTCTTCATTTTCAATATCAAATGTTGACATTGTTGGTTGAACATTCGTATTTGATTGCATTGCTGTTGCATTAGTTTTCTTTGCTGCTCTAAAATAAAAAAATATAATAACGTCGTTTTTTCTTTTGTATATAAATATTTAAATTAAAAAAAAAATTCATAAGAGAATCGAAGTGCCGGTTGACAACTGACAAAAAGAAACCAGTGATTTCAAATACTACATATCATCTATTTACTGGGGTTATATACAGTAAAACCTCTCTGTAGTAGACACCCTTCGGACCTTTCAAAAGTGTCCACTATGAGGAGGTTAAGTGTTTTTCAAGAACAATATCTTTTTCGAAGAAGTAGGCACGATTTTAGGCATCTAAAGTATTAGTGAATAAGATAATCGGATAGAGCAAGTTATTACTTCTGTTTTCATATATTTTAATTTTTAAAAATAGAAAAATTAACAATTGTCAAAATAGTCTTTGATAGAACTTTGTTTCACCGCTTTCGAATCCACATAAATGTTCACTTTTTCTTAATGATAGTAACAAAATGACACAAGTTTTACAATACGATTATTTATATACACGTCTTCTCTATTTAACACGACGGACGTTTTCTTTTTCTACAACTCAGACGTATTTTTTTGTCATTCCACCGCCTGATCAATAAAGAAGAGTCATTATGTTATATGATCGACGGTAGTCATTGCGACATTTTCTTTGAGTTCATAACTAGTGTCCACTATATAGAGGTTATTTATGCAAAAGAGACCGTGAAAAAGTGTCCACTATATGAAGGTGTCCACTATACGGAGGTTCAATTACAGCAAAAATCGTTTGGTCGGATCCCAAAGTGTCCACTATAACGAGGTGTCCACTATCGAGGGGTGTCCACTATGGGAGGTTTTACTGTAATTACAAGGTAAATGTAACAGGCCTTAATTTAAATGTTCAAGACCATAGATTTTTCCAAAATTGAATTTTTATGTGCTATACAACTTTTAATAATAAAGAAAAAAAAATGTTTATCTTTCGAGTTCTTATCAAAGATGTGTTCGATTTAAGTTTTTCAAAGCTTAAACCAATCCGAAATAGACGTTGATTCAAGATACAACAAAAGGAGTCGATCGCATCTCACACATTCAGTCAAATGGATTTTAAAGGATCTTTTTTTTTTCGGCTATAAAAAATTATCTGCAGTGTAACTTTTAATGGTAATCTCGACTGTTAGATTTATTTTTTCTTTACAATTGTTTCGAAAATCACTGTGTAGAAGAGAAATATGAGCTTTGTTTTATTGCACAGGTAAATTTCTATCATCATTAAGAGTATATAAAATTCACTTTGATTATGAAAAATAGAAGTAAATAACTGTCAAAAATTTATCGTTATCAACATATAAATTACGATCTATTACACTCATGTTGAACTATGTAACCAGAGTAAATAGATGATATACTCTAATCCTAATCTTACTTACAGAACATCGATATACGCTAAAAACTTAATGTTTCTTTTTTCTTTTTTAAGATGATGATTTCTCGAATGCATGTCAATAAAAAAAAAAGAACTTCGATGCTTCAGTTCTTCCATGAACTCTGTTTCTTTCAATTTTTCTTTCTTTTTTTTTTTCTATATACGAACCGTTTTTGTCCAGTACCAGGTGTACCAACAGTACGACCACCTTTACCAGTACCACGACTAGCTAGACCTGCACTAATACCGGTCATAGGTGTAACATTCTTTGTTGCTTGTGTTGGTTTAACAACATTTGTATCAGTAATATGATATTGACCCGGATGGATATTACTAAATTGACTTGTACCATTCGGTGCAGGTAAATTATTACCTGTTGAATATTGTGTTGATGATGTTGGTGTAAGTAATCCTGCAATAGAAGCATTTTCTTTTTTCTTGTTAGCCACTGGTACAGCAGAATTACGTGTAGCTGTTGGTAACATTGTTGATTGTGTATTAGGAAGTGGATTTGGTGGTAATAAAGCTGGATTTAATGCTGTTGATGATATAAAACGAGTTTGATCATTAAGTGTATTTGATAATATTGGTGTTGTTGTAGAATTTAATAATGTAGATGTTTGTCGAGGTGTTCGAACTTTTGTTTTATTACGTTTAACTTTTGTTTTACGTTTACGATGTATTGTAAGACGATCATTTTCTCGTTGAATTAATTGATTTATTGTATCACCAAATAATTTTAACTATAAATAAATAAATAAATAAAATTTTATTTCAATTTCAAAATAGAAAAAAAACAAAAAAAATTATTTACTTGTTCTTGAAGAATACGTAATTGTCTTAATGTATTTTCATCATTCGTTTGCATTTCATCACCTGAACTTTCATCAGTTGTTCCACCATCATCAGAACTTGTTATCATTGATGTTTGTGGTACAATATTACTCATATTACTATGATTTTTTGATAGATTACGACTATGTTTTCGTGATGATGATGATGATGATGATGATGGTATTGGACCATTATTACGTACAGTATTAACTGATGATGATGATGGATCGATTTCAATATTGGTTGGCATTGGTGGTTCATCGGGTAATTTAGCATATTTATTCTCAAACATTTGCTACAAACAAAAAAAAAACACATGTAAAATAGCATTTATAGACAAAGAATGCATATAAGATTTGCGTAAATTTTTAAAAACATTATGAGTCATTAGTAAAAGAGAAAAACAAGAGAATTGACTAATCGTTGTTTTTTAATGGATATAATTTTTTGCGGTAAACATAATAGTATATGACTTACGAATAGAATCCCTACAATATGACTTGTCAAGTATAGACATATGTTACATACAGGTAGGTCTTGTTAACCTTAGAATGTCCCGAAAATTTCAGCTTCTACAGCTGTTTTTTTGAAGAAAGTTTAATATTTTCAACATTCAATTCATTTATGAACAATATAATTATTTCTATTGACAAGTCACACATAGACACTTTCTCATTTGTTTGTTCATTTCTTTAAAGAAAATTCTTTTGTTTTTTTTTCAAAACAATACGATCATATTTCATAAATGAAAACAAATAATTTTGTCAAACATGAAATATACAAGAATAGGAGTAGATCTATTTTTCAGTACTTTATCAAATGCGAAGGCGGCGTCTGTCTGAAAGAGAAAATCTGCATGAAACATTATCCTCAGTCTCCATAGATCATATATTAATAATATCTTATTATAATATAAGAACTACTTATTACATGTCTGAAGTATTAAGTAAAAGGATGTTAAAAAAAATGTGTCCTAAAATAGATAGAATAAATTAATCTTGCTGTGATTAACAACAGCAGCTACATCTCCACAGGGCGTGTACTAACAGCTTTTGTATATGTATATTTTTTTTTCCTAGTCTATATAAAGTTCTTAAATAACTTTTCTTTTTTAATAGTTATGCACATTTCAATTAAAAAAAAATCATGAAATGATTTCTAACGAACGAATTATGATAAGTGACACCTGCTATTTGAAATTTATATTAGACTCATAAGTAAGTTTAAGTATGAATAGTAAAAAGCCTAAAAGGATTCAATATCGAATTATGACCAATTTTTAGGTATTTTTTAAAAGATTGAATAACGAAGTTTGAATTTAAAATTTTATTATTCGATCTTCCGTGAAGTAGACATTTATAACTCGACGCCTAGTCTTATTCCTATTCTCAATGAAATTTGCCTATAGGTTCTATATGAATTCAAATGGTGAGTATTCTTCATAGCTTAGTTTATCCAATTTTCGAAAAGAGAAAATCTACATATAAATTATTTTTACCTCAACTTTTTTGCACATTGCTACAACATCTGTATTAGGTCCATTATACAAATAACAATTGCTAAATATAAGTCTAACATCAGTAGCAAATTCTTCTGGTGATGTATATTCACGATTGTCAAGTTTTTTCTGAACAAAAAAAAATAAAAAACATAATAATAATAAATTCTTTTTTTTTTGTTGTTGTTTAGTCATACTTTCACTGTTCCAAGATCCATTGGTTTTTTAATAATTTGATAATAATCTGGTAGATTAAGATTTTCAACATCAACAGGTTTAGCAAATGGCCAAACAAATGGCTTAACAAAACAAAAAAACAACAAGTCATATAAAATATTTATTACAAAAAAAAAAAAAAATTATTTACCATATTCTTTTTATGTAATAAATCTTTAATAATACTGACACAATATTTTAACTGTTCCGTCATACGATTTTTTGATCGTTTAATTTGTGGCTACAAAAAAAAATATCAAACAATTTATTATTATTTTCTTTATTGTAAAAAAAACAAAAAAAAAAATTTATACATCATTTGTTTCCATAGGAAAACTACTATCATATTTCGTTCTTTTAATTGGTCCACTAACACTATTTGTACGTCTTGTTGCACTATCACGTCGAGCAGTCATTTTAGTTTGATCATTATTATTTGTATCATCAGTCATATCACCTTTTCGTTTTGCTGCACCCTAAACAATACAAAAAACAAAAAAAAATTCAAAAAAAAAAAAACATATTCATTTTCTCACTGATGTTGATGTATCTAGATTTGTTTCATTTGTATTTTTAGTTGGTGTTGTTGTTATTAATGGATTTGTTGGACGTATCGCTGTTGTATTTGGCATTGATTGTGATGATGATGGTGGTGACATCGATTGTATATTATGATCAATATGATTTGAATTTGTATTTAATGGTGAAAATGGTGATGTTATACCACTTGGATTTGTTGCTGATGATGAACGATGTCGTGATAAAACATTTGTACTACTTGGAAATGAACTATTGACTGTTGTAGCACGTGTTGCCATTGATGGAGTTGATGGAGATGCTACTATATTAAACATTTTTTTTTTGTTTGAATGATATACACTGCTTACTTATATATATTAAAACAAAAAACAGACTCTGACATGTTCTGTCAAAAATAGAACTTAGAGTAAAGGAAAGAGTAAAGGTGGATCGCTATGTAATCGATTCTACTATTGATATTGACTTGATTCTATCTAATTCAAAATTTGATATTATATTCCTATTTGACTTTTAGATAGTATGATTCGTTATATGAACAACTTTAGCTGAATTCTATTTAATGATCTGATATTATTATATTGAGTTTAGTTTGTTTATTTGTAACACATATAGATCGATTCATCATTTTATTCTAATTTCAAAATTCACTTATCAATATATAGAGTATGTTTGACTAAAATATCTTTCTTACAAAATAAATTCAATGTAATGATATTCTCCTATGAAACATATAATGATTTTTATATACATAAAAATCAATTTCAAATATTGCATATCGAATAATTGAATTGATGTTATTGTTTTAACGTTGTAAAACAAACAAAAAAAAGAAACGATATATTTAAGTATTTAGAACATACCAAACAAAATGCTGACACAGACAGTTAAATATCGTAAAACAAGATTGAGAAAAATTTTGATAAGAACTATTTCTTATCAAATATAATGATAATATTTAAGCCTTATAACTACGAATAGTATCAGACACGACTTTTACCTTTAGAAATAGAAAGAGACATTGAATATAGTACACTACGTAAGACTAAGATTTCATTATTTAGAAGAGTTTTGTTTTTTCGTGACTATTCTTTCTAATAATGAAAAATATGATTATGTATTTGAGATATATTATAAATCCTATCCAACTGAATTGAACATTTTTTTTTTTCGAAATCTAAAATCAATACTTTCATATAGTTTAAAATAGTAGTCTGTAACAAAAAAAATCGATATTTTCTCTCAGATGATTGAGTTGTTTTTTTTTCTGTCTTAAAATGAAGTTCTATTTTAATTCTTCTAAGAGAACGAAATAATATTTTTCATAGAAAATATGGATGGTTTGAAAATATTTTCGACACTTATATTTTAATAGAAATCATCCGAATATTTTAAGTATATGACAAAATTGTTTTCTATTTATCAACAAATTTTCCTCTAATAAAATTAAAATTTGCTTTTATTTCGTATTATTCACTTTTTCAATAAGTCATTAATATAAAATTTTCAATTTTCAAAACATGATTTAATAATTCACCGAAAATGTATTACGATAAATGATGTAAGTATAAACTTTAATGAATTTCTTTTTTTTTTCCTACTTATGAAAATGAATCATTCTTTTACTACATACATGGAGAATTTAAATTTTCACTTGGTGTTGATGGTGAAATAACTGGTACTGATAAATTTCCTTGTGTAAGACCTTTTGAAGCTGTTGTTTTTGATGTATGGGGTACAATTTCAATTTCCTATATATAAATATATATATTATTTTCCCAAAAAAACTTAATAATCTTACATCTGACGGCATTTCAGCTAATTTTTCATAAAAAACTTTTTCAAGTGTTGCACCCATAATGACAACATCCTTGTGAAAAAAAACAGAAAAAAATTTATTTTCTCTTTTGGTTTTTTTTTTTTCGTGCGTTGTTTCATTTACTTCGCCTGGTTTATTATATAAATAACAATCAGTAAACATCATATTTATATCAGATATACATTCTTTAGCACTATAATAATAATTTGATTCGAGACGTTTTTTTATTGTACCAAGATCTATTGGATATTTAACAATTTTATGATAATCCTAATAGATAGAAAAAAAAACAAGAATTATTTTTTTTTTGTAAGAGGAAGGAAGTAAATTTAGTATTAATAATAATTACAGGTAGATGAAGTTTAGCAGCATTAACTGGTTTTTGAAATGGCCAAGAAAATTCATGTTTCCATAAAGTTTTAAATAAAACTTTTGACATAAATTGTAATTGATTTGTTTGACGGCCACGTTTTGATGCTGAAATATGTGGTAATTTTATAGGAATTGTATTTGTTGTCTAGGAAAATTACAAAAGAAAATTAATATTAAATTAAGTTGTTATATGCAAAAAAAACTAAAAAATCAATCACCTTCATGATGATTTATAATAGAAATAATTAGTTTTCAATAGAAAAAGACAATGAATGATGAGCCAATAATAATGTGTTATAATCGTTTGGCTTCATCTAAAAGTTGAAATAGAGTTTTGTTTTTTTTTGTTCTTTTTCTTTCTTTTATATATTATATTTTTATAAATATTATTAACAATCATATAAATGACAGATATTATTATTATTCATTCAAGAAAAATCAACAAAATGTCTGAAACAAAGAATTGATCGCCCTATTGTTTCCTTTGTTGATGAGCCTTCATAGTCAATTTTATGCATTAGAATGCATAGATGTGTTAGTTTTATTCATTTCTTCTTTCATTCATAGACAGAACGGAAAGAAAGAAAGAGGCAGATCAACACGCACGGAGAGTAGACATAGAAAAAAAATCGAGTTTTTCCTTTTCTTTTTTTCTTTCTTTCATTGAATTATGAGTTTTATGATGGAAGTTGATGGCCTGATGCCAATTATGACCGAATATGTGTAATCGTAGATGTCGCAGTCATATTCATGAAAGGAATCAGAAGTTTTACAATGATACAGTGTACATATATATATATATACAGTAACATCCACCATTGATCGTAAAGTCAAATGATGACTTTACTCTCTTAATATTTTAAGAGAAATTCAATATATTGAATTGTGATTGTTGACAAAATATGGATCATATCTTTTAGTTTATTTGTACCGACTAGTATTTTCTTTATGATCTAAAATTTATTTATGTTAGATAAATGATACTAAAAAAAAAAAGTGATATCGTTGACCTTAGATAAAAATTAATTTTGTACATTTCATTAAAAAAAAAAATACTTTCATTTCACAGTAATAAAACCAAATTTATCGTGTAATTTTGAATAGAAACAATATTTTGTGATGTTCTAACGAAAATTTTCTCGTTTTAACAATTAAAATATGGTGTCTTTTCGAAATATCACGATGTATAATTTCTCATTGATTATATATATTTTTTCAATGTATGGTACAATGAATTATGTGTCAAGTCTAAGAAAATAAGTTTTTTTTTTTTACCTAATCCAACAAGTTTACTTTAAGAATAAGTGATACTTAGTCTAGATCGACCTTGAAATATGAGGTAAATTTTATAAATAAAAGAAAAAAGTATTTGCATTTTTTTGATATATTGACCTTGTTTTAAAATATTAGTAAAATAAAATCATTAGTTGAATGTACGATCGATTTCAAGTGCTACTATATGTAAGCATGAGAAAGAGTTTGAAAAAGAAAAGAATAATAGTAACAAATAAGATCATATACGAGAAATTTTATTCATATATCCGATACCAAAATAATTATTTATGTGACGATATGATATTGACATAATAAAAAAAGAAAAGATGTTTTTGTTTTTGTTTTTGTTTTGACAGATGATTATCTATTCGAAATGATTCAGTCTCGTTACTCAGAGATTATTCATTTACACCAAAAAATTAGTTTATTTCATGGTAAAGCAAAAGAAGTACATTAAAAAAAATGTTTGTTCTTATTATTAAAATTTAAAGATTAATTTAAAAAAAAAAAGAAAGTCATTTCTATTCTTCGAAAGTTTTCAACAAAATTTCATCATATATCTAATTGTAAACACAATAGTATAATTCGATAAATCATCTACTATGCTCAAACTCTTAAACAAAAAGAAATGTAATGGCTCATACAAAAAGATGTCTAAAGAATTAAAAGAATCTCATCTTTCTTTAATCATCTATTTACCAATGTATTTCGTAAAATACTTCTATTGATATATAACAAACCATTGAGAAACCATTCATCTTGTCTAATATGATCTTTCTTTACAATCATCGAAATAATATGTTTATATTTATATATGAATATATTGCATAACAATTTGTTTAAGCATAGAGTTTTGCTATATCATAATGATCTAGCATAGTCATATTAGAAGACAAACTGACTCATGTCTAAGTTGATAATAAAAAAAAAATGATAACAGAAGCATTATTAGTTACATACTTCGTTAGAGGTATTGATAAGTCTTATATGTTGTTACTAAAAACCTAGGTAAACATAATGATTTAAGTATTGAAATAATATGATAAATGCGTGAAAATCATTTGACAGCTATCTTAAATACGAAAATATGTTTATACATATTGCATCTATCAAGAAAATATAGAACGAAAATAAGAACATAATATTTTTTTATTATTTCTTTTTTCCGTTCGTCAAACAAGATAGAATACGTCATAGTCTCTCATTTTTATTCTTCATTATATAATCAAACATATGACTACATCATGTTTTGCTATTACGGGTGGTTGTGGCTATATAGGTTTACGTCTTGCTGATTATTTACTTGAAATTAACGATTTAAATACTATAATTTTACTTGATATTCATCCTCCATCTAATTATAAACAATCAAATCGTTTAATTTATCGTTATTGTGATATACGTTCTTATAAATCTGTTTATGATGCATTAACTAATGTAACATGTGTATTTCATTTAGCTAGTTATGGTATGTCAGGTAGAGAAATGTTAAATTATAAAATGATCTATGATGTTAATGTAATTGGTACTGAAAATATAATTAAAACATGTATTGAACATAATATTAATAAATTAATTTATTGTTCAACATATAATGCTGTATATACAGGAAAAAAAGAATTATTAAATGTAACTGAAAATGATTGTTCATATCCAATAGAAAATGAATATTGTGATAATTATAGTCGTACAAAATCATTAGCTGAACAAATGATAATAAAATCTTGTACATCAAAATTTCATACTGTATGTATACGACCAGCAGCTATTTATGGTGATGGTGAACAACGTCATTTTCCACGTATACTTAATTTAGTACGTCAAGGTATAGTATTTTTTGCAATTGGTCATAAGAATATTCTAGCTGATTGGATATATGCTGATAATTTAGTATATGCATTATATTTAGCTGAAAAATCTTTACCTAAATATTCAGGTGAAGTTTATTTTATATCTGATGATCAACCAATAAATAATTTTCAATTTTTATCACAATTAACAAAAGGTTTAGGTTATAATAATTGTTTTAATTTTTATATACCAACATTAATTATGTTTTATATTGCTTATATTATTGAAATTATACATTATATAAGTGCTAAATATATTTATAATTTTGATCCATTTCTTACACGTGCTGAAGTATTAAAAGTTGGTGTTACACATTATGCAAATATAACAAAAGCAAAAAATCTATTAGGTTATCATGTTAAAGTTAATCCAGATGAAGCTATGAAAAAATCTATTCAATGGTTTAATGAACATGGATATAAGAAGACAATAAATCAAGATAATTCTAAATTTTTTTGGTTATTTTTAATAAGTGCAGTTATATTGATGATTTTCTTTTTCTATCAATTTATCAGATTAAAAATGTGATATTTGATTTACAATAAAAGTTTTCTTTTCTTCCTCGTTTTGAATTAGTTTTTAAGAAATATTAAATCGATGTATATATATTGCATTGAAATTGAATCGTTAGAATAAAACATTAGCTACATATAATGAATGACTTTTAAAGAATTATTTGTACATAACTGAAAAGATCACGATAGATTTTGGAAAATTATGTTTTCCAAAGGAATATAAAAAAAAGAAAGAGCAATGGCATAGATTAGGCAGAAGAGTCTTTTTCGATGTTTGCACTTCTTTTTGTTTTTTAATTTAACAATATTTCTTCTGAAGTTCTAATTAGACAGTTCTTCAAAGCGAAAAATTTCTTGCTGCATACAAAGCCATTGAATATATTGCCATCTCTTAAAGAATAGTATTTTATTCTTTATGAAACATCTGTTAAAGAAAAGGATCTTGAACTTTAAGAAAATTTTTCTAAAGTTTATATTCAGTTAGACATTAGAATAGCTTATATGTACGATTGTATTTTTTGAAACATATTGATCTATAAATACAAGTGACTTGCTGACACAGAATATTCAACTTATTTATGATGTCAATGTATCTTTGTGAATCATAACAGTTTTTCTCTGTTTCAACATTATAGAAGGTTTTGAAATAAGAAATGAACGATATTCTTTTGACACACTAAATAAATACTACACATTATCAAACTATAACCTGTTCAAAATAAAAATAAACTGAGATAGTCACTAATAATTATACAGTTAGATCAAACGTATCATCAATTCATTTAGTTGATAATATTAGCCATTCTCGTTCATAAACACATTAGCTGATCAATTTTCGATTGTAAACTTAGAAATCAATTTTAGATTATGTTCTATGAATTTAATACACTGATGTATCTATGTCTGACAGTTCTTGTAACAATAACTGAGACTGAAAGATCAACTAATGTTATCAATCGAATAAAGACATGTTTATAATCAATTATAACACAACGATGTCAAAATGATGTCATTATTCCTCATATTCATAAAGAAGAATTAGATAAGTTGAACTTGAATAGCACCTGCTGTGATGTTATGTTGTGCATAATGGTTTTTAACTCGAATTAAAATTTTTCATTATTTTTGAATATGTTTTCCATAGAATAAGAAATACAAAACTAGAAATTTCTACTTTTTTTTATCTTATTCAAAATAGTAGCTGGAGTGAAAAGTGACTAAGAAAAATTGTCGTCTAAATTCGGTAGATGTTTGGCAAAGCAAAAAATAATGATATCAAATTCGATTTTTATCGATAGAAGTGTAGAATGAATTTCAAATGTCACTTGAATTCAAATTATGAAGAAATCTGCTCAGATATCTTCTTCTAATTTGGATAAGGTTTTTGCTTATAAATATTACATCATATCCGATAAGAAAATATATGTCAAACTTTTAGTTCTTTCAACTAACAATTAATTTAAAACTACTTAACCAATATTATAGGAGAAAAAAATTCCAAGAATACAAATTGCATGTTTGATGAAATTTTCGAACTTCGAAAAATTTATCTTCTAGAGATTTTATAAAGTTCCGAAACAAAAAACATTTTATTCAATCATCATCTGAAGATTCAAAAGCAGGCTTTTTTTTTCGTACTTTGTCACATCACTAACATTAGCCTTATTTACTGATAAAATATTAAAAAATAGCTCTAGAAAAATTCATTATTTTGAGATATACATGTTTATTATTCACTTTACTTATGAGTAATTTTATTCATATGAAAAATTTCATAGCATCGTGAAATCTTAATAAGAACACTAAAATATAAGTTAGTATTCATAGGTTTAAAAAAATAAATCATTGAAATCAAAAGGAGACATCTAGAAAAGTTTCGTTGTTAGCTACTAGTGGAATGACACAAATAAAATCATCTTGTATTATATTATTTTCATTTGTGAATAAAACAAAGAAGATAACCTCTATAAATATGTATCAAACATCATAGTATAAGTTTTTTTTTTTTTCGAAGTAAAGAAGGAAGGAAGGTAAACATAACTTATTTGATTGGTGTAATTCTTAGACAAATCGAATTATTTTTTCAAACTAAATTTCCAAATTAATTTTCACTTTTTTGTTTTTTTATTGCTCATTCGATACTTCAACAATAATAAAAATCTAAGATACATTTTTATCTATTTGAAATGATTAAAATAAAAAATCTTAAGAAATAAATCTAAACTCTGATGAAAATATATTACGTTGTTTAATTTTCTTTCTATTACTTGAATATACAATTTTCTAAGGTTAATTTTTCTTTTTTTTTCAGATAAGAGAAACAAAAAACTGTTTTCTCAATGTCAACCGATATTACTGATGAACCTTTATCGACATCGTACGATTTTTTTGATGCAAAAAATGCTATTATTGTTACACTTTATGCTCATGGAGCATTTGAAATAAAAGACATTGATATTTCTATAGACACAGATTCACTTGAAGTTCGTACACCAGGTAAACAAAAAGAAATTTACATCTATATATATATATATTTTCTTTTTTTTTGTTCAATAAGCAAATGAAATATGGTCATTTCAATTATGGGAACATGTTTATGGTGATAATAGTGAAATTGAAACAACAATAAATTCAGCACGAACACAAACATCAATTGAAATACGTCTACCTAAACAACAACCACGTACATCATGGCCACAATTATATAGTTTTGGTTCAATACCAATAACACCACAACGTGATAATCAATATAATGAATGTCATGAAATGAATATAATTAATCAACAACAATATGATTTATCAATAAAAAAAATTAGATATGAATTTTTTGAAACAAATGAAACATTTACATCAAATATTTATATTAAACAAGTATATGATTTTAATATAAATTTTACTGAAACAAATTTTACAGCTATTTTTCATACGAAGTATAATTATAAATTTACTTTTTATTTTTTTATTTTATTTCTTTTTTCTTAGAGATGAAAATTTTCTTAAAATTCATGAAATAACATCTGATAAGCCAATAAAATTATTTGTTCGTGTTAAAGAACGTATTATACCTGAGAAATGTTCATCAAATATAACACAAGCATTTATCGAAATAAAACTTATTAAAGATAATCCAAATAGTACAAAATGGGGTCGACTTGAACCAAATGAATATTTTGAATCTCGTCCACTTATACAACAAACATCACCAACTACACCACCATCATCACCTAATTCTATACAATCAACAATTATTAATTCTACAATGATTAATTCAAATAATAAAGGTATATATTTTATATTCAATAAATCGAAAAATCTTGATAAATATTCGAAATTGAATACAAAATTTGCTTCTTAAAATTAACTATATTTTAATATTAATGAAATTTAATCAT